ACTACACCATTGCCCTTGGCATTTCTTTTTCCTGATTCCCTCCAGTGCCCCTTCTTTGTCACTCTTTCTCTGTTAGGGCTATTGGCAGTTCACATAATCTTAGTGTCAGTTTCTTGAAATGGAAACCATGCTGTCAACTTTAAAGGATTCTTGTGATAGACAATTCAGCCAATTTATGTAAAGGCACATTATAAACTCCAAGGTGCTATAACAAATTTTTGCTTTGTTGTTAGTATTAAGTGTAAGTGAAGTAATAAAATGGTACCATAAGAGTCTCCAGATATCTCTATTGATGATTATGGAACAATATTTTGTAACAAGAATCTCATTTTTTAAAAAATAGATGTTTATGCTCTTGGCATAAGAAGACAAGGACAAAGAATACGTTTTCTTCTTTTAAGTGGTTGAAGTACCCCCATCATGTTTTTGTTTACACTATTAGCTTGCCTAACAGTCCTTTTCTTTTTTAATTAAACCAAAGTTACATTTCAACTTAGCCCTTAGACGCATCCACACTCTCTAAGATTTTCATAAATAATGTCATTTTAGTGGAAAACAATCTCTGCCACCAAAGAATTTGGAAACCAAGTTAGGAGCTTACATTAATGTAAAAGCCATTTGTTTTAGTGTTTGTAAGGAAATCAAGTTTTTTTTTTTTAAGATTTTATTTTTAAGTAATCTCTACACCCAATGAAGGGCATGAACCCGCAACTCCATGAGCAAGAGTCACATGCTTTACTGACTGAGCCAGCCAGGTGCCTGAGGAAATCAAGTTTTTGATAAATGATCTGCTCAGTGATTTCAGATGCTTATCCCCAGAAAGGAACTGATAAAAATAGTTCAGTTTAGTTTAGAGATGATTATTATTTCCTCTGCCCTTTCCCGTACAAATCCCATTGGAAGAAAACAGCCATTCTAGGAAGGAGGCAGGCCTGTTGCAAGGGTCTTTGTGATTTTGTTCAACTCCTTGGTGAACTTTCCTTTCTGACCAGCCCCATCTCCTGCCACTGCCCCCGGCCACAGGCCACCTGAGTACTTCCTCACTGCTCCCTTAGCCTGGCCTCCCTCCCAGCTCTCACCACACTGATTGGCTGCTGTTTTTGTATCTGTTTCCCCAATAGCCCTGTTGGCCTCTCAACAGCAGGGGCCATGTCTTTGACCCACACACGGTAGTACTCAATAGACATATTGTATGTTTGAATAGGTAAGGGATAGAAGATGACCCCGAGGCACAAAAGTTTAACCCTGTTAGAAATGATAGACAATCTGTTTATTTCCCTATTTTAACCTTTCTACGTCTTGGTTTTTTATTTATTTAATTGGCTTCTCTGAGACCATGAGCTTTGTGTGGGGAGGGAGTGTGTCTCTTGTTTACCATGCCTCCCTCGGCCCTGGCAAAGGCAGAGCTGGTGCCTGGTAGATACTCAGAAATATTTACTGAGAAAATGATTCCATGACTATTTGTTTCTACATTGGCTTTTAGCTCAACAACCGAGGACAATTTAAATCCAACAAACTCTTTTTTCGGGCATGCAGGGTGGGCACAGGGAGGAGGGATGCAGGGGGCACACAGGAGGAGGGGCAAGGGATGGAGATAGCTTTACCTTCTGGAATTTTCTTATCTGATGAAGACTAGATAGCTCGATGTGTGCTGGCTTTCTTTTTTCCCCCTGGATTACCAGGTCCTTGTTAAGTAGAGTTCCCAGAAAAAAGGACAGAGGAAGCGAGGAGGGAGGGGATTGTGGTGGTTGTGTGTGAGGGATGTGCTCTGTGTATGAATATGAAAAGGGAATCCCGTATTAGTGAACAAAGCCCTGTTGTTGAAGGCTGTCTCCGCTAATACACCCTGTCTGATGGAGCCAGATGGAAATAAATCACGCCAGGACTTGTGATGTAAATATTCATTAGAAGCCCGTGCACTGGGGGATGAGCAGTGTTGTGTGCACCCTGATTGATTTCTCACCTGTCTAGGGGAAGAAATGGATAGAGAACTAGATCTCCCTTGAGTATCCTCCAGAGAGGACCTGGCTTCCTACAGATGGGAGACAAAACAAGAATTTCATTTGCCTAATTTGGAATTGTGTCAAGAAATCTGGGAGACAGTCTGATGTTTAGGCAGATGAACCTACAGCGGGAACTGGTTGATTTCAGCCTTTTAGGAACAGCCGGAGCAATAGGGGAGAGTAATTGAATCACTGTCTACGTGGAGTTGAATGTGTTCTTCCCACTATTTACAAGCTGTTTGCCAGCCTCTGGGGCATTATTAGGGGATGAGCCACATTAACATGGCAGAGCTTCACTGGTTTTTGGGGGAAACAGCTGGCTGAGCTGGCACCAGCTCCCAGCAGCCCTTGACTTTCTCCGCACGTGCTTGCAAGTGCCAAAAGCTTGTTTGCTGCTCAATCAGGAGCCCAGAGGGCCCTGCAGAGACCAATATTCCTATGTTGGAAAGAAGTGATTTTCTTCACAGAAACAGCCAAGTGGAATGCATGGGAAGAGAAGGAAGGAGGACCTCAGAAGAAAAGGAGAGAACCCATGAAGGAACAGTCACGGAGAGAGAAATTCAGTAACTTGCCCAACCTCAAAGTGACAGAGCTGAAATTACCCATGTCATTCCGGCTTCCAGCACCACCTCCAAGTGTCAAAAAGACACTTAAAATTCTGGGAAGAGACAAGGGCTCCTGATTCAGCTGAGAACAAGAACTTTGAGAGAAGAAATACCTCGCCGTCTTGGAGCCAGGTGAGGTCTGAGCAGGAGAGCCAGAGACTGAAATCCACCAGTGGAGACAACAAACATGACTGGGAATTGAATGGAAAAGCAGGAGACCCACTCCACACCTCAAGCAGGTCCTCAGATGTGCATTTCCTGCCTGGCCACACTCAGCAGTAAGAATGTGACGGGGGGTTTTATCCCAATTGTATCCCATTAAGATGCCTAATTGTCCAAACGATGTTACATCAGTTACATCCTATCTCCCTTGGGCCCTCACATAGCTCTGACTCAGGAGTGGTTAGGTCCTGACGAGTCCCAGGAAGCTAACAGGCTTCTTTTCTATTGGTTCTGAGTGAGGTTGACTACATGCCTCTAAGGCCAGAATAGGCACTTCAAGAAGACTGCCTGGGGGCACCTGGGTGACTCAGGCATCTGACTTCGGCTCAGGTCAAGATCTCACCATTCCTGAGTTTGAGCCCAGCGTCAGGCTTTGTGCTGACAGCTCAGAGCCTGGAGCCTGTTTCAGATTCTGTCTCCCTCTCTCTCTGCCCCTCCCCCACTCGTGTTCTGTCTCTCTCTCTCTCTCTCTCTCTCTCTCTCTCAAAAATAAATAAACGTTAAAAAATTAAAAAAAAAAAAAAAAGAAGGCTGCCCGGGGGTCTTCTGTGTTCCCACCCCCATCTGGAGCGCATCCTGTGGAAACTTCTTTGAGACGTGGTAAATGTGCGTGGGGAACGGGCTGGAAACAGCCCTTTCTCTACCTTGGGGGTTTGTAACTGTAATTGTGGAGTCTACCTTACCTGGGGGTCTGACTCAGAAGGATCCCCAGCCAGGTGACTCTGAGCCTCCCTTTTTCTGTACCCCCTTGAAGCCAGACCACAGCCAGACCTCTCTCTGATGGCTGCACCTTTTGGACCCTGCCTGATGCTTTGGACCCCTGAGGTGGTCACATCAGCCTCTGCCGCATACAGAACACATTCATGGTGGCACTGGAGCCAGTGTCCTTGCCTCCTTGGGGAGTCCCTCCTGCACACGTATTCCATCTGCCCTCCGTGTTCAGCTGCTCTAGGGCCGGCAGCTTGCACCCCACCATGTGGTAAGAGGCTAGAAGGCTTGAAAGATGACGTCTAGTGCCCACTGCATTCCCAAGGGTCTCTATGGCTGGAGAGGATATCATCTTCTGAGCATGTAGTTGGTGCTGCAGCAGTGCACTCGGTGAGTGAAAGAAGTGGCATCAGGGATGGAGCCTCTCACGTTCTGAGCTTCATGTCGGCCAACCTTTCAGATTCTTGGTGCTTTATTCGTGAGTCAGTGTTTGTTTTAGAATGCAAATGTTTTAGCCATAGAAATGAGTTCTTTTGGATGTAGCCCCCTCTCTTCCCTAGGGTTCTGGCCCAGAACACGTCCAACGCATATTAATCAATGGCTGCTGTAGTTTCCAGAGGTTCTCTCTGGCTACGGAGCTTGGTGACGCCAGAGAACACTCCATTCAGCAAAGGGAGGCGGCTCAGGCTGCTTTCTAAGTGTCTTTAATTCAGTTTTCTAAATGTGAACTGCATTTGGCAGGTGGGATAGAAGAAAGGTTGCAAGAGGAAGAACCATGTACTCTGGTATTCCCCTGTGTTGCCTTGCCTGGGGCCTACGCTCCCAGCCACGTGGCCATGTCGGCAGACGCCCGGCCTGGTGGCATGGAGTCCAGTCCTTTCTTCTTTTGCATATAAAAGCCAGGGAAGTGGATTCACTACCACCCTCCCTGCCCACACGCCACCTTCCTATAAATCTCTCTGATAGTCTCCTTTTGCGTCTTCTCCTGACTGGTCAACAGGCTACTCTCTAAGTGTCGTTAATTCAATTTTCCTGATGTTTGGATCCTCGTCCATGGGAATCCTTGTTGGAGTTTAAACAATGCCAAGCCCCCGAGCATCTGTGCCTCTCATGAAAATTGTCATCGTTTGTGAGCGCCCACTGTGTCCCCAAGCACTCGGCACCATGATTTAATTCTACAGCTATAGTGTAAAGTAGGTATCATTATTCCCATTCTGCGAATGAGAAAGATGAGGCCTGGAGCGCCTGCGTAACTTGCCTCAGTCACACAGTGAGCAGCAGACATGCTGTGTGAGCCCTGAACGCTGTGCCTCCAAAAGCCACTGTTCCATCCCCAGTACTAATAGTTAGCTCAGTAGCTTTTAAGTAACTGTTTAAGGTAACTGGATAAAGGGGAGGATATTCGACAGAAGAGAAATTGTGGGGTCTCTTGCTGACTCTTGCTCCCTATTTCCTGTTCCAGGTAATCTGTTCTTGGTGAGCCTGGCATCAGCTGACCTGGTGGTGGCCCTGTACCCCTACCCGCTAATCCTCGTGGCTATCTTCCATGACGGCTGGGCCCTGGGGGAGGTGCACTGCAAGGCCAGTGGCTTCGTGCTGGGCCTGAGTGTCATTGGCTCTGTCTTCAACATCACTGCCATCGCCATTAACCGCTACTGCTACATCTGTCACAGCATGGCCTACCACCGGATCTACCGGCACTGGCACACCGCCGTCTACATCTGCCTCATCTGGCTCCTCACTCTGGTGGCCTTGGTGCCCAACTTTTTCGTGGGGTCCCTGGAGTACGACCCACGCATCTACTCCTGCACCTTCATCCAGACGGCCAGCACACAGTACACAGTGGCAGTGGTAGTCATTCACTTCCTCCTCCCCATTGCTGTCGTGTCCTTCTGCTACCGCGCATCTGGGTGCTGGTGCTCCGGTCCCACAGGAAGGCCAAGCTGGAGACCAAGCTGCGCCTGAGGCCCAGCGATGTCCGGAGCTTCCTAACCATGTTCGTGGTGTTTGTGATCTTCGCTATCTGCTGGGCCCCGCTGAACTGCATTGGCCTTGCTGTGGCCATCGACCCAGAAGGAATAGCTCCCCAGGTCCCGGAGGGGCTCTTTGTCACCAGCTACTACCTGGCTTACTTCAACAGCTGCCTTAATGCCATAGTCTACGGGCTCCTGAACAAGAACTTCCGTAGGGAATACAAGAAGATTGTCTCAGCCCTCTGGAACCCTGGGTGCTGCTTCCGGGATGCTTCCAAGGGCAGCCAGTCCACAGGGCCTCAGAGCCAAACTCCACCTGTCGTTAATGCCCAGCATCCTGTCCAGGTAGACACTCTCTAGACTGGATCACTGACCGGGCGGCCGGTTCATTAAATGGTGGGGGTGGATCTGCTCCGTGCGTGAGATCAGGCAGCCTGCTGGGCTATGCCGTCCTGTTCGCGTGACAGCACACGGCTTGTGGAACTTCATCCTGTGGACAAGAAGACCATCAGCACCCTTGGTTCGGGCTAGTCAGAGGATACCTATAGGCACTGGGGGCCACATCCAAGTGAGCACGGCATCGGCCCTGGCAGACACTCTCACTGCACTGGAGGCTTGAGGCACACATCAACCAAGGAAGGGACAGAATGAGGACGGGCTTGGAACAGAAGAAGCCAGTTACTTCCTATGAGCTGTCCTCTTCTCCCACTTTGGCCTCCTTTCTGGTTTCTCTCTGTTCCCCAAAGGGCAGTAAGAATGGATACCTTCCTGTTGGCATTGAGGAGGGCACCTGTCGGGATGAGCACTGGGTGTTGTGTGGAAACCAGTTTGACAATAAATTATATATATATGTATGTGTGTGTGTGTATATATATATACACACACACACATACATATATATGTGACATATATACTGATACACACACACACACACACACATATATGGGAACATACCTCAACATAATAAAGGCCATCTATGAACCCCCCCTCCCCCCCCCACACCAATAAAAAAGAAAAGAAAAAGCTCTGTAGTGCTAGGAGCTAGGTAGCTCTGCAGGGCTGCAGGGGGCTGGCGCGTCCAGAGGGCAAGTGTTCTGCACGCTCCCCCACTGACTCCCTGCGCATACGTGCACGTGCACACACACATACACACCACCGTGTATACACCGCACGCACCACCACCTCAGCCACACTATGCACATACCTCAAGCACACACACACCCCCTCCTCAGGCATCTGGAGCATGTAGCCGGCCTGGCTTCCTTTCCCGGTTCCACCAGGCTCAAGTTGTGTGACTTGGGGCAAGCTCCTGACCTCTGTATTCCTCGGTTTATTCACCGGACAATGGAGATCGTGCCAGTACCTGTCTCCCAGGGCTGTTGTGAGGGTTCCTTGGGATAATACAGCCAAAGAGCTGAGGGCAGTGCCTGACGCATGGTGATCATTCAGTAAACACTAACTATTATTATTATTACTACTACTACCTAAAATGAAAGATAATCTTGAAGGAGAGGAGAGGAGACAAAGACCGGAAGTGGAGGCAAGTGAGTGGGGGAGGCGTGAATGGAGGTGGGGGAAGGGCGCCTCACTTCCTGTTTTAGCATGTCTGCCTACAGGCTTTGTATTTGCAGACACTTCAGGTCTTAGCACCAATTTGGCTTCCTTCCTTTGAATTTGGCCTCCTTCTTCGGTTCCACAAACATGACCGACTACTCTGGGGCCAGGTCCAGCAGGAGAAAAAAAAGGCATGTTGCCTGCCCTCTTGGAGGTCACAGTCTGCTAATGAAGAGTATCGGCTGGCACTTAGCGGGTGCTTGCTTTGTATCAGGCACTATATGCACTCTCTCATTGAATCCTTAGAAAATTCTTTGAGGACATATCATTATCTATATTTAGTAAGTGACTAAAACTCAAAGAAGTGAAATGATTTCCTGAGTTTCCTTGGACAGAGTCCAAGTCTGACAACAGTATCCTGTTTCCTTCCCCACCCCTGCCCATACCTTAGAAGGTGTGGCAGGGACAAAGTGGGGTAAGTACCCCCAGGACATAAGTTGCGTGGGGGGTTCCAAGGAGAGAGAAAAGTTACCTCAGCCAGCTGGCAGCTTTGCAGAACAAAGAGCCCAGAATGCTGACCTCTCAGCATTATTCTGGATGCTTTGCCTTCCCTTGTCATGTGAGGAATCAGTTTGGGTGCTGTGGCTAGTCATCTAGTTACCTGGGAGCTTGTGAAACATTCAAGTGCTCTTAGCTCCACCAAAAACATTTTGAGTGTGGGGTGTGGGGAAGAGCCCAGTAATCTGATTCAGACCCCGGAGGTCCTCTACCAAACTGTTAGGAATGCAGGTGTTTCAGCCCCGGTTGCCTACCTATTGGGATCCCGTTGCTGGGTGCGGAGAGTCCTGTCCAGGGAGGCCTCCCAGTTCAGACCTCCGTCTGAGAGTGAAACACAAGGAACCTACGGCTTCTCGCTGAGCTGCAGCCACTCTTCTTGGTTCTGTGCAGAGCCTGAGCTCATCAGACCAGGCATGTGTTCTGTTCTCTCTGCCTCCTCTCCCCAGGCACCAACTATAGGGATTTGCCCATCGCTCTTGACTTAGAGGCAATGGGTGTCCCCGACTGCTCCTCTTATTTCTATCTTTTAACTCTGAGCTGAATGCATGGTAAAGTCTCAATAAATACGGATTGAGGAAACAAAAGTTCTCTTCAGTTTTCTGGGCCCACAGATGTTACCTGATTTGCCAGTTCTGACAGTTTGCTAACCGGAACCTTTTCTTGTTTCCATAGGTTTTGGTGATGATCCAGGAACCAAGAGAATGAAAGGGTATAGAGAAAACCCAGGATACTGGGGCCATCTGTGTGCTCATGTGGAATGGCCTCAAGCTACAGACCCTGATCTTAAATAAAGACAATTTTGCTGCAAAAGTGTGGGAACTCTATCCATCCTCCACCACCTTGCTGTAAATTTCTATTTAGGAACTTGGATTTATTTTTTTAAAAATCTTTCCATAAAGATAACTATTGGCCCATGTAATTTAACTTGTGAATTTTATCAAATATTTAATAAAGAAATAATACTAACCTTACATACACTCAGAAAATAGAGGAAGAAAAAACATTTCTCAGTGTATTTTGTGAAATCAGCATAACACTTCCTTATAGCATTGCAATTTCATTTAAACAAAAGAAAAATTACATACAAGAAAAGAAAAATTATGTCCCTCCTGAACAGAGATGCAAAAATCCGTAACGATATATTAGCAAATTGGTTCCAAAAATATACAAGAAGGATTCTGCATCATGACCAAGGTGGTTCCCCAAGAATATAAGGTTAATTTTACATTTGAAAATCAATGTAATTTGTAATTTTAACAGAATAAGAGAGAAAATTATGTCGATACATGCAAAAAAAAATCATTTTACACAATTGAACATTCATTCATGACAAAAAAAATTTTTTGGGGAAACCAGGAATAGGAGTAAATTTCCTCAAGCTGGTAAAGAGTATCTTTGAAAAAACTACAAATGATAACATATTTAATAGTGAAATCATTAATGTTTTTTTCCCTGAATTGAAACAAAGATGTATGCTCCCACCATTTCTTTCAATATTTTACTGGAAGCCCTAGCATTATAATAAGTTAGAAAAAGAAACAAAGGACACACATTATTAAGAAGAAATAAAAAGTAAAACTCTCATTCTCAGATTACATGATCCTATATGTAGAAAACCGTATAAAATCTTTAGAACAAACAAACAAACAAACAAACAAGGGACACCTGGGTAACTCAGTAGATTAAGCAGCTGACTCTTGATTTCAGCTCAGGTCATGATCTCACAGTTCATGAGATCAAGCCCTCTGTCGGGCTCTGCACTGACCGTGCAGAACCTGCTTAGGATTCTCTCTCTCCCACTTTGCCCCTTCCCCACTCATGCTTTCTATCTCTCTGTCTCTCTCAAAATAAAGTTAAAAAAAATAAACAAAACAAAATAAAGCTACCAGAATTAGTAAGGTCACAGGATGCAGGGTAAATTTTTAAAAAACTATAGCTGTTCTTAAAGTGAAAAAAATAAATAAAAGCAATAACAATACCACAAAAATGATCAAATATAGAATTAACCAACCAAAAGATGTACAAAGTCCCTATGCTGAAAACTCCAAAAGATTGCAGAGAGAAAGTAAAGAAGACCAAAATCAATGGAGAGATATACCATATTCGTGGATTTGAAAAATATTAAAATATCTACTTTCCTAAATTCATCTATGGAGTCAATGAAATCCTAATCAAAATTCTAGCAAGATTTTTCTTTAAAAAAATTTTTTATTACATTTATTTATCTTTGAGAGACAGAGTGAGACAGAGCCCAAGTGGGGGAGGGCATAGAGAGAAGAAACAGAATCCAAAGCAGGCTCCAGGCTCTGAGCAAGCATTCAGCACAGAACCCAATGTGGGGCTTGAACCCACACCACAAACTGTGAGATCATGACCTGAGCCAAAGTCAGACACCTAACCGACTGAGCCACCTAGGCACCCCTGTAGGAAGATTTTTTGAAGATTTTGCCAATCTGATTATAGAAAACATATATAAATGCAAGTGATGTGGAATAACCAAAATAACCTTGAAGAGAACATATTTGGAGAACTAACAAGATCTGATTTCAAGATGTATTCTAAAACTACATTATAAGAAGCAGTGTGGTTTTGGCATAAGGATAAGCAAATAAATCAATACGACAGAATAGAGTCAAGAAATAAATCCATACATATATGGTAAACTGATTTTTAACCAAATCACCAAGCCAACTCAATAGGACAGTAGACTAGTTTTAAAAAATGGTGCTGGAAAAACTGGATATCAAAAGGAGGGGGGCAAAAAACCTCTTCAATCCCTCCCTTACTTCATACACATAAATAATTCAAAATAGATTATAGCCTTAAATATAGAAGACATAATGATAAATATTCTAGAAGACTACACAGGAGAATGTCTTCATGCCCTTGTAGTAAGCAAAGATTTCTTAGCTGAGATATAAAAGCACTAACAAGGGGTGCCTGGGTAGATTAGTTGGTTAAGTGTCTGAGTCTTGATTTTGGCTCATGGTCATGAGATCAAGCTCTGCAATGGACTCTATGCTGGGCATAGAGCCTGCTTGAGATTCTCTTCCTCTCCCTTTGCCCCTCCCATGCTTGTACTCTCTCTCTCTCTCAAAAATAAAATAAAATGACATAAAATTAAATTAAATTTTAATTTAATTTAATTTAATTTTTTTATGGTAAAGGGAAGATTTTGTTTGGTTGATTAAGTCTTGCAGTAGATAGGATTCAAACCTTTTGGAAAAGTCAAA